TATGTTACATGAAGTACCAAGACTTTGAGTTGGACATGTCGGAGCAATAAATATTGATCCATTTCCATATGATACTAAATGTGATCTATACGAGAAGATATTTAATTGGAAAAACTATTACACTTATGAAGCTAAAATATTTACATGATTGTTATATCTGTTGTCGTTGGTACCGTTGTTGAGTTCGTTGTTGCCGTTGTTGAGTTCGTTGGTACCGTTGTTGAATGCGTTGCTGAAAGCGTTGTTGCGTTCGTTGATACCGTTGTTGGGTTCGTTGGTACCGTTGTTGACGTCGTTGTTGTCGTTATTGTTGGTGTCTCTGTTGACGTTGTTGTTTCTGCTGATGTTCTTGCCGTTGTTGTTACTGTCGTTGTTGTTTGAGCTGTAGATATAGCTTCAACTGTAGTCGCAATACAACTGTTATCGTCAAATTCCTCGTATGAAATAGTATAGTTCATCCGTGTATTTTGCGATGTAGTTTGTGTTGTTTGAGTTGTAGATATAGCTTCAACTGTAGTCGAAACACAGCTGTCAACGTCAAAATTCTCGTATGAAATAGTATAGTTCATCCATGTACTTTGTGATGTAGTTTGTGTTGTTTGTCCGTTTACTGAGATCAGCAGTCCCATAAAGATATCTTTATGTATAAAAGAAAAAGTTTTTCTTACTAAATTAAAGCAATTATTGATTATTCTTTTTATTTTCTTTAGGATGAATCGAAAAGGATATTAATTTTGAGTTTGATGAAAGTGGAACTACAAATTACTTGTTTTCTTTGCTGCTTGTCTCTGACTAACAAAAATATTTTCAATAGATGTTTCTGTGAAAAATGGTTGAGATTAATAATCTTAGAAAATATGCTTCTACAGATCGAGTACTAAAACCATTTGCTTACTCATCATCGCTTCACACTGATATATAGGATAACTCATATTTTACCAGATTCTAGTTTTTTGTCAATAACTGACTTTTTATCACATGTGCTATTTTATCATTGAAAGGTATTGTAGTTTTGACTAATCGAAAATAAAGCCTGATTTTGTTTTACAATTTTCATTTGTTTCGATGCAACAACAGTATTTTTTAAAATAAAAATTATTACTCACAAAAGATAATAGTCATTGCCATCAGGATAATAAAATTATGAATTTAAAAAAATGAATATACATTTATTGTTTCTCACTACGATATATTTAAATATTTTCGGGCATATTAAATCAGTTTATTTAGTATCTCCGCATTCAAATATTAGAATACACTCTCGATCGATTTATTGCTTGTTTTGCGTTTCTGAAAATTTAATTTTCTTCCGAACGAAAGAAAACAAAGCATGTTGTTATTGTTGGATTAAATCAATAAAAAACAAACATATTCTTATTTAAAATTCCTAATGAATAATCGTCAAAACTTTTCATTTTTGCAGTGTCATTGTTGTGTGTAGGTCTCCTAGCTTCTCTCTTCTTGCGATCGTTCAGATGTCGTGGGTAGGTGACGACTCTATTCTATTTTATTCTATATTTCTCTCATCCTCTGTGTAACCATAAAGTTTATTTTAAAAGGCCCATTGGGCATTAAATAAAGCAAAAGAAAATAAAAGAAAAAAAATTAATACAGTATTATTTGTGTGAAATATTTTGAAAACTAGTAACAATAATCGAATATACGAAAAGGGTTATAAACAAAAATATTATTAATAAATAATCGAGGATATAATTTATTTTATAGAGTTTTTAGTATTTTTTTTGTTCTAATTCCAAACAATATATGTTATGTTGCAGCATCAATGTAACTGAATCGTATAGCTAAAATTGGTTGTTTGGATTGATTGTATTTCTTTTGTCGTTCGTCTGCTCGGTGTCTCTCTTCTTTACGACGATGATAATTTTTTTTTGCTTTCCATGATTCTAAGTCATGTTCACTTGGATTGATATGAAAACCATATTTTAATACATCCATAAGAATAACAAAACCAATAACTGTTGATATACAACCAATTGCTACACAAGCAAACGAACGTGAAACGATTTCTTTTACACGTAAACTTGATGATTTTATTTGGCAATATGTACCTGAATAGAAATCAGGATTAATACATTCACATGACCAATTGCCATAGCTCGATGAACATACACCATAGTTTTGACAAGTTATGTTTGCACATATATCAACTTCATATTGACAATGGCCACCTAATTTGCCCGTGGGACATGTACAAGTAGTTTCATTTGCTGTTGAATTACATTTACCACCATTAAGACAATGTGAACATGAAGGTACATCATATTCACAATTGGTGCCCGAATAACCGGTAACACATGCACATATATAACCAAGTAAGGCACTTGCATTTGTATGGCATGTTGCAGAGTTTAAACATGGTTGAGTCATTGTACATAGATTTGAAGATATGTTACATGAAGTACCAAGACTTTGACTTGGACATGTCGGAGCAACAAATATTGATCCATTTCCATATGATACT